ACCGTCTCCTCGAACACACTGCAGCGTTTGAATTTTAAATTGATTCATTTACCCAGTCGTAAGCCAATATTCATCCGTGCTCAGCTTGTTATATGAATACTAAACATCTCTTGCAGGTGTTTGGCCTCTTCTGTTAGACCGCGGTAATCTCAGCTTCTACTCATCCAATTTGCGTACTTTAAAATGTTTTGAAAACCTCTCAGTCTGGCGGGTGATCTAAGACCAGTCTTGTTTTGCTATCATCAAATTATCAATGCCAGTGGTCACTAAAAAGCTTGTTACCATGGACGTCATAAGGCTAACATGGCTGGCCAGTTACCACATTATATACTGCATTAAAACAACAAGAAAAGCTTCGGCTTCGCCTCTGCGTTTCTTCTGTTCACGGACTGAGTGAACAGATATCTTCGGCCACTGCACTGGCAAAAGCAGCTTAATAGTTTGGCAATTTCAGAATACGGTAGATTGAGCAGAGACCTAGCAGGCGAGTCAAAATCAAAACAGAAGGGGCAAAAGGTTAACTATCCAGGGTGCTCGCCGCGGGCAACCATCCGGAACACTTGTCCGGCTTTGCCATTCTGACTTTGCGGGAAAGCGTAATATTTTAAAAATAGTCGTAAGCCAATATTCATCCGTGCTCAGCTTGTTATATGAATACTAAACATCTCTAGCAGGTCTTTGGCCTCTCATGTTAGACCGCGGTAATCTCCGCTTCTGCTCATCCGATCTTCCTGCTTCAAAATGTTTTGAAAACCTCCCAGTCTGGCGGGTGATCTAAGACCAGTCGTTGTTTGTTGAATTCAGAACCGCAGTCCCAGTGGTCACTCAAAAGCTTGTTACCATGGATGCCATAGGTCTAACATGGGCTGGTCTGTTACCACGGTCACAATTATACTGTACTCAAACAAGAAACAGCTTTGGCTTCGCCTCTGCGTTTCTCATGGTCCAAAATCGGACCAAACAAATGATCAAGCTCCTCTTCAGTTCATTTGCAAGCTTCTGAGGAGACTATTAGCCGCTGTGCACGAAACTGCTTCAAACAAAATACTAACTGCTATTGCTTCCTCGAATACACTGCAACCTATGAATTTTAAACTGATTCATTTACCCAGTCGTAAGCCAATATTCATCCGTGCTCAGCTTGTTATCTATATCCGTAACCTCTTATACATGCTAAGCAGACGACCACGATGATCGGGCGAACGGATGGTCCGATTTTGACGCGGTAAAGTGCGCCGGAATCGTCGCAACTTCGTGAGTGACATAGGGACACTGCGAATATTGTGCGCCTCAAGAGGGCAAGACAGCCCCCAAAAAAACGACTTGTTGCTATGGGCCTCCATAGACATACATGAGCTAACGCAGAGCGACTAAAAGACAAATCGCGCCTTTCGGCCTCGCTTCGCTAACAATTCATGCAAAAATTGTAAATGCGTGACAAAATAACATTATGAGCGTGGCGTTCAGAATACCTAATCATCTTAGGTCCTGTTTACTAAGCTTTCTTAGCTGTCTTCGGATTTCTTAGACATTATTAAAGTAGCATTAAAGCATTATTATAATTTGTTCCTAAATCTTGGTATTAAAATATTAAATATTAAGCATTGCGATACTAACTAAGATCTATGAATGCCTCCAATTGCGGATGACGCCCTAAATATGTTTTCGATCCACTTAGCGGCGAATCAACAGTAACAATCAACCGTCAGAAACTTCAGGAACTATGCCGGTGTCAATCAGCACTGCGAAGAACTACCAGAGCCTCCAAAGCGACAGATGGTAGGTAATCACCGGTACATCGTAATATCTTCCTCTGCTTAATCTTAAACTGCCTGAATTGATTTATGAAGGGTAAAGACTAAGAAAGTTCTGGTTGAGAACTTGAGCTAGTGTAGTACTGTCATAATTATACTGACCTTGTGCGCCCAATGGTAGCATAATCCTACACGACTTGCTCTGGCCCAATAGCGTCCACGGCACAATTAACAAGCTCGGCTACGAGTAGGCATACCATTCCCGTTTTTCTTTTAACGGTGCAGTGCTTGGACCGCAGTCGAAAACTGGCACGTATACGAGTATTATTCTCGCTGTCGCAAGCACGGGCATTCACAACCCGCAAAGCAAAGAAAATAACGCTGGTTAGTATCGGGAAATAGGTTCTCTATGGGCCTATTCAATGGCATCATGATCGAACTGGCGATGGGGCCCATATTACCATTTATTATACTATTAAATAAAATTATCAAAAGTACTTGTTTCTGTAGAAGTTAACGGCGGACGGAAATACGGACGGTGTCAAGTCTGGGCTGCTGCGCACAAATGGATGGATGTACAGTACTTTATAGTTTGCGGTTGCTAGTCAACAATGGCGGCGAGAAGATGGATCGAACTGGTTTTCCCCCAAAACTTTACTGAGCACATGGACCAAAAACGCTTATATTATGTCAATACAATTCAGTTCTGCAAACATAACAGTATAACTAATGTATCATTATGTATGTACTTACCAATGGCAACAAGTTGCTGTTAGGCTTTTAGTTTCTTTTATTAAGTGCCATTATTTTTATAACAAAATTAATTAAAACTAAAGCACTTGTCGTTTGGTTGGCCGGAGCGCAGGCCCACGGCCGTCAGCAAAGATTGTGTTCTGTGCATATCCAGAAAGAAGCAGGCTTTTGTCTAATTGATAAATAATGTAACACGCTCATAAATCCCGGCTCAATATTGCAATAATATCATGTCTATTCCTATTAAGATTAACAAAATTATTCCTAGTGGGCTTAAGTATTTAATTTTTGACCTTTCGAACTGCGTAACCAGCGGGAGGAAATATTCGTGTCTACAGTAAAAAAAAAGCAGTGAATACTTATGAAGATACACAATTAGGCGTCATTCAGGTATTACGTAACGCAAATTTTCTGCTTTTTCGACCACCCCCGCCCCCACCCTTGTGTGACCTTTCTTCATGTATTACTTATGAGCAGGTAACACGAGGCAGGCCCACCCCCCACTCCTCCCGCGTTACGCAGTACTTGAATGCCGCCTTATGTGATTAAAGACAGACGTTCACACAGCGCAAGTGTCGTCTAGAACCTCTGTGGCACGTTAGCAACATCGCTCGGTTTTGTAAAGCAGCTCTACCCGTTATGAGTCTGAACACGCTGTATTTTCACGCTTCCGTAGCTGGTTCTTCGATAGCAAGTTGCAAATCTCCACTACCGATATGTACTACAGACTCTCCACACTGCTGCATCTTCGCAGACTGTGGAATCACTCCGTACCCAACATGCAAACGTTCAGCCAATCCGCTGAACGAAACGCTGTCAAATACGGAATAGCTTCCAAAGCGTACCGTTAGTGCAAGTAATGTACCAAAAGGTCACAAGCGAAACACCAGTATTTTAAGGTTGTGCAAAAAATATGATTGTGGTAATTAATTTCATTTATTAGCTCAACGAACTGCGCTGCTGGAAAAAAACGAACTGACCATAACAAACTGCTGGAAAGTTGGAGGAAGTTGTGGAAAAGACGCGACAGGCTATAGGCCAAGACATACCTTTTCTGTATGTTCGATATTAAGTGGGGACTTATGCTATGATTGTGCGCTTTTAGTTACTGACTTACTGTTATAACGTCCAAATACATATTAATTTTGCCTTCAACAAGACAGTACAACAAAACCGCAATCGCGGAAGAAGAGTTCCCTATTTATCACATAAGAGATTTACATTGATGACGATGGGTACGTAGTTATCACACCATGAACATTCAATCGGAAAGCTGAGCAACCTGCAGATGTCTCCGGACAGGGTACAAAGTAGCCAGGTTAAGCGTTTCAGCATATGTGGTATCCAGCAATTGGTTCCACAGCTACTCCAATGGCACTCGCATTATTTCATTTTGTTGCCACCACATGAACATTTCGGTCTATCGGAGCTAAAGATTTTTAAGAACAGCACTAGTATAAAGTCGCCAAAGTCAAAGCGCTTGGGTTTTTAACAAGGTTAAGATTGTGGGTCTGCATCCGTTAACAAGCTTGCCATCAGAAAGTGCTTGTAGGTCCAGAGATAATGGCGCAAAAAAAATGTACTCCCAAGCATTCAGGCTCAATGGAACACCTTACGTATCCTTGCTTCTACTGCGCACAAGGAAGCAGCGACGAACCTGCTTAGTTTGCGAGAACTATTTGGATTAGAACGCAGGTGCAGTTCTGGACCTGTAATGTACGCTGAAACTAAGGGAACCAACGACTTAGTATGCTGAAAACTGGTTAGCAAGCTATGCAGATCGAAGAAACTTTCCCTTGAATTCTTACCTGTAGTGATAACTTGGCGGAGAGTTTAACCCGTTTAGGGTAACTAAGACATTGCTTCCCTGTACCTTCCCTTAAAGGCGAAAACAAAGATTTCGAATATTCAGACGCTGCAACAGCCTGTGATACCAATGGACCATATGGAACTCTATTGGAACTGTTGGAACTACTGCATATCGTTTAGTTGCGACCTGATGTGACACCAGTGGAACCTATGGAACTCTATTGGAACTTATTGGAACTGATGGAACTACTTTACATCGTTTAATTGCAACCTAATGTGACACCAGTGGAACCTATGGAACTCTATTGGAACTTACTTGAACTGTTGGAATTACTGTACATCGTTTAATTGCGACCTAACGTGACATCAGTGGAACCTATGGAACTCTATTGGAACTTATTGGAACTGTTGGAACTACTTTACATCGTTTAATTGCAACCTAATGTGACACCAGCGGAACCTATGGAACTCTATTGGAACTTACTGGAACTGTTGGAATTACTGTACATCGTTTAATTGCGACCTAACGTGACATCAGTGGAACCTATGGAACTCTATTGGAACTTTTTGGAACTGTTGGAACTACTGCATATCGTTTAGTTGCGACCTGATTTAACATCATTGGAATTTGGAACCTATGGAACCCGTTGGAACTGTTAGAACTTCTCAAACTAACAGCACTGCGCCCTTTTGTGGTACCAAGGGAAAGCATCGAATGCTGCTAGAACTCATTGAAAATAATATCAATATTTTACTAGGTTTCTAATTATGTTTCTAATATTTTAGTAGTTAACGCTACTAGAAAATACCGGTGATGCTCAAGCTGATATCATTAGGAAAGGTTTTACGACGTTTTATGCCTAATTAATTTCGGTAAAATGGGAAAATACAGAAGCACTGCAGAAAATCAAATCTATAATTTAGAGCATTTTAGCAAAGCATATGAAGAGCTAACTGCAAAAATCGATAATTCATAATTAATCGATAATTAATCGATAATTATTAGTAATTAGTTTTTATCGCTTAGAACAGTAAGGACATTTCCAAGGTTTCTGTTTTGGTGGTGGTTTTCCTGATCGGGTAACACGAGGTGACACATACGATGCGCACATATGATGGAAAGCATGTTGGCAGACTGTGCAGCGCAACCACGGTTTGTCTTTGTTGTCCGGAATAAGAGCCACATGACACTTCCCGCATTTTATGATCTTGCTGGATTCGCTTACATTGGTATCGTCTTGGCTGAGTTTTCCGAAACGATGATGAACGGCACGTTTTGTAGCTTCGGGATCATCTGCATTAAACTTCCGTGAGTTTCAGGTCGAAGGTTTATAGTTATGTACAGTTTGCTTCACTAGCAAGTCATTACGATTCACCTTCAGAAACAACGGAAGCGGAAAATGATCGAATTTTGTTTCCTGTGCGGACTCTATCTGCAGCGTAACGTAACATTATAAAATTTCGAAAAAACTTAAATACAAGCTCGATTTATAGTTTCTAGTTAAACTCTACCTTTTGCAGTCATTTTCTTTGGAGTGCTGCTAGATAGTGGTGAGAAGTCACTGTCGTTAGCTGGAAGTGACTGATCCATGTTAGCATTTTGCGTTCCAGATTCAGTAGCTTCCATGGCGCTGCTTTTGCGCTTTCCTATGCCGCTGGACGTTTGCGAAGCTAAATCCACAATTAAAAGTACAAGGAGGATTGGTGCTGAGTCGGCAACGAATTTATCGCTTAAAGTTAGACTTATCACCCATTCCACTGGAGTTTTATTTAGCCGTCAACCGTGGATGGTTGCCTTTCCTAGCATGCGCAACCGCCAACCGAGTATGATGGTAGCCAGGTAGCGTCATGTAATGTACTGCAGCTGTCATATTACGGAGCTGTTGATTAGTGCAGTTAATTACGGTTGACGGCCAAATCAGCCTCCAGTGGATTGGGTGTTCAGACTAACTTTAGGCGATAAATTCGCTGCAGACTCGACACCAAGGTGGAGCTGCTGTATCGCAACGAGATTCGCTTCGAATTCAGGACAAGGCCTAAGTGTGCACCGGTCTTACCATCCAAATGTGGCCTCGCTTTACATGTTGCAGCAGCAGGATTACCGGCCAAGCTCACCTCGGGCGCTTCGTCTAAGGAAACTTGCAAAGCATCGACGATACCATCGATCTTTGCAAGTTGCTCTGAAGTAAAGTGCTCGCGTGGCAAAATTAAGCAACGCCTCCGCACACCCTTCAGATTCACTTGGTGCTGCTTGTCTGCCCAAGCAATCTGGTCAATGCACCAGCGATTTTGTTGCAGCGGGTCCTCTTTTGTTGCATCAAGGAACAAGTCCTTCCGAACAGCCAAACAAAGCACGTCTTCCGCAATATCTTCAAACTTCACCGAGAGAACGTTCTTAAAAAACGTATTCATCTGAAAGAATATATCGTCAAATTTGTATAATGAATTCGAGAACTAGATAATTAATTTTGTTGTACTGTGGTACATAAAGGGTGTTTTATTAGGCATTGGCCGCATTGCCATCCAAATAAAACAAAGTGCAAGCGTAAGTACACTACTTTACCGTACAGACTAAATCACATTTGTAGTATTTAGATAAGATTTTTTAGCCTGGTGTCGTTTTCGATAATTTGTGTCACATATTCTGTGAGCAGTTTACATGACGAAATACACCGTTGAGCAACTAACCTTTTCGGCATGAGTTGTTTTGCGTAGTGCTTCTATCAGTTGAGCAAAACTTTCTTTGGCCAAGCAGTTGCTTCGGTCGGGAAGTAAAGATAGCGTTGTACGCGCGGTCAAACCATTGCGCGGTAAAGTTTGATATGGCGCGGCTTTTGAAATATGCCGTAGCAGGCATTGGAGAGCTTCTTCCTTGTCGTACTCGCAAGCAACTTTACGGGCAATCTGCAGAAATATTTAAGAAAAACAGAATGAATGCAAAGTCATCTAGCGCTATGGAAATAACGTTGTATAGTACCATATCCCCAACAGACGACAGTATAGAGTATAAGGTTGCAATTCGGTGAGTGCAGCTAACCATTCCCGCTGATAATAGTTTTGGTTTGATGATTTCGTATTTGTCATTAACCGCATTAGTCAGTTCACGGCATCCTTCCTCGCCAAAATGAAGCAGTTTCCGAACATCTTTGGATGCACGTTGCTGCGCTTGTTCCAGAAGTGTGAAAACAGTGTTATCAATGTCGGTTATCTCGTTATCCATGGTCAAAATAGCTACCCGACTCAATGTCCGCATTCTGTAAAAACCTCAGGTTTTCGTGGGTGATGACACAATCGAGTAGATCACAGAGCTTAAAGAGCGAAATTTATTGAGACTGACTTGTCTTTAGTTGCGGCAGCGATATCATCCAGGCCATCGGAATTCATGGTAAGCGCACAAGACGAAGTAGGATGCACACCACCGCTGTTTTTGTTGCGATAGTTTAGATATAGTTTTCTTTCGTACACGCATCCAAATATACGTGGCATTAGCTTAGGAAATGGATTATCGTGGATTATTAAAGGAACGTGCAATTTTGTCCAGCGATCAAGGCCTGCGGAATCAGTTATTTCCCCTAAATTGCAAATGTCTTCCATATTTGTCCCGAAAATTGACACGCTCAGATTCAGAAGGAGCGTTTTCCACGTGTCTGGTAGTCCGACTACGATCAAGCTTGGCAAACCTTTGAAGTGCCTGATCAGGACTCCGTAAAACATGCTGATCCAAGAATGTGCTAAAAATTATATCCAATATTCAAACTTATACAAATTCAATTTAAAAGTATTTCTGTTTTCTAGACAACCAATACAAATAATTAAAGTAAATTCAGGTGGACGCGGTATCAGTGGATATGGTTACAATAATACGAGTATCTTTTTATAACAGTGATAAATATTTCACTCACCACACATTAGTACGAAGGTGTAGTAGACATCTAATGGCAAATGTTGTCTTATAATGGCAAACAGTCTGGCCTTCTTTTTTCCCTGATAGACCTCGACAGTGCGGGGAATTAAAACGGATGACAAAGGCGTCCACACATATGCACATTTATCGGTGTCGGCTAACACCATTCCACCCTCAAAAGGGACGAAAATTATGTCCGGACCAAAAACGAAAGTAACACCGTCTTCTTGCAGCCCCAGGTGCGAAACCGCTTGCCGCTTTAGCGGAATTTCTTTGTCTTCGCATTTCCTGTAAGAAATGAAAAAATATGCATACATATGCGTTGGATTGGGTGCTTCATTGCGTCCAGTGCTTACATGTATACTAGTACTTCTGTGTAGCTACATAATAACATCACAAAAGCACTTGATCCATTATTATTAGTATACTTTCTGTTGTGTTTTTTTATATACAGCTTTCTTATGTAGTTTTTCAATATATTTTACGTACTCAATATACCGTTGGTGATACCACTCCCCTAACTTGGCGAGAACCTTGTTGCTCATGTTGGAAAACGCGGACGAGCCGCCTTTGATATGCAGATCCGAGGAGAAATCTTTAAAATTGTTCCACGACTTGCTACGAATGTAAACCTTCCTGCAAACCAGAATTGGCCGATATACACAAAATATAAGTACCTGATCGTCTAAAGCGTATCAAAGGTCCGTTATCGTTACAGTATCAGTTTTAAACGTCTGAGGTTACGGTACGAGCTGCGCTATTCTTGTATGTAAACCGAGTTGCAAGTTATAGCGCGAGTTTAAGCTACCGTAGAATCGTAGATACCATACAATAGTGCATATAATATAATAAATAAATCTGTACCTCGTGCAGCTGTCGTCCTGCAGTTCAAATAGCGTTCCAGATTCTGTTGTTTTTCCTTCCACTTCTGCAATGGGCGTTAACACAAATGCCATAATCCAGTCGTCCACTGCTCGTTTTTCCTTCTTTTTAAAATAATAGGTACGACCATCCTTCTCTTTGAACCGGTATTCAGCTGCCGTGAACTGTAATAAAGCGCTACTCTATAATCGGCTTAATTCCTCCAGTTATTAGTACTCTGTGCACAAACACGCATAAGTTTCTTACACAAAACGAATCTGAAGCCGATTGGTTAGACATTATAAAGTATCTGTAAGCCTGTTCACAGGATGCAAAGCCAAATTAAAAAGGTCAGCAAATTTCTTAATTATTTAATTAGAATGCGTTTGTTAAAAAACATGCTGTTTCCAAATGATTACAATTTACAGCTCATTTTTATTGGCACCTTCCCACAAAAATTAGGGTTGGATACAGTTTACTGTGTTTCAGCCTGGTTATTTGTACAAGAAGTACGTTTAATCACTTTAATGACAAATTATACGTTGACTAAGCTGGTACTGCATTGATTACAGTAATAGTATTACGTATACCTAATCTAATAAACGATCTATGGGTGCCATACTGCCTTTAATTTGTAGCTGTGATTTCATGGCCAGTCGATGAGTTTGGCGCTCGCTGTGCAGTGAAAGTGCAGTCAGCCGTCCCATCCCCAATGATGATTGGACTTTTGGGTGAAGTACTGACTAAAAGGTGAGCACAATTCTCCACATAGGGCTGTTTATGTGGGCAAAAGTGTGGCACAGGTCGCTGCTGGAATATATTGTGTGTCCTTTAGTGCTATTTATACAGCAGTATCACATGAGCAGCTATTTATACAGCAGTATAACTTGAGCAGTTCAACAGTTTCTGCCCGACGTTTAATAAGTCCTCAAGAGCGTTATCGGTAAAATCAGGAAAATTACGTGACCTTAATTTATGCAGTCTGTCTCGAACGTTTTGTTATGGAAGAATTATTTTGACAGTAATGGTATTTACTGTTTAATCAGAACGTACAAGCGCATTTGATAGATATGAACTGCTTCTGTAGGTAAAGTGAAAATCATGACACACGAAGAGCAGAACGGTTCTTTAAGATTATTCCTAAGCAAGTATTCACTGGACGAAATCCTGAAGTTGTGCACCGTTTGCACCGCAAACCGATCACTGGACATTATGGATACGGTTCTTTTGGAAGTATGCCAAAATGTGTGATGTATCTACATATTTCTTGAAATATTAGTTAGCTATTGCTTTTAATTAACTACTGCAATATCATTGTAATAAATGATATACTGCATGTAGGAACTTGCACACCGTGTACAGCTGGCACCTGATCGGCTTAGAGATATGTATATCCACGTGATGAACGAAGCGCCGTCTCTCCTTGATTTGATTTCGCCATCGGATCCAAGGAGTATCGTTGTAATTACTCCTCCAGTGAAAACGTGCGCCGAAGGCTGCGTGTACCAGAGGGGCTCTAAAACAGGCCTACCTTTGGAACTCGGTCTTCATAATAAGCCAGCTTGGGTAAATATATACCTTTACGTAGTCACAGTTACTAACAACTCGTTAGTTATATTCCTTGTTCAGTGAACTGTCTACTGTCTTGAGTACACACACTTTTACGTTAATTTTCAATCGGTATTTGTTAGTTATTATTAACTGCTTTGAAATACAACTGAATATTGCGGCAAAAATACAGTACCCTAAGCATTTTTTCAGGGCACACTGCACGACATTAACGGAATGAGCCGATCTTTCGTTCGCCTATCGTATAGATGTCCAACCTGTCGTAGTATATACAAGTACGACATGTTTCAATCCAAAAAGGATGGCAAATACCGCTTTTACGAGCACGAACGAACGCATGTGCGCGTGACCCAGACAACTTATTGGTCTAGAACGTTATGCAAATTCTTAGTAGAAAGCGTGTAAGTGCTCTAATTAAATACCTTATAAATAAATCATATTTATCTTAACAAAACTAAAATTAACTGATTACACGGGAATTAGTGCTCTTTTCTCTTCTTTGCTACACAACTGCCAAGTAAAGCCAACTTTGTTTTACAACTTCCTTTTCAAGATTGCATTGCAAAGCGTCTTTCAACGGGTTCTGCGAAACGTACCTCGAGACATACGGAAAAGCTGCCGGTAAATTTTTCCCAAAACCATTGGCTTTTTTCATTTGAAAACTTTAATCTACTTTGTAGGATTTGATGTACAGAACGTGTCCGAAGCGTTTTTCCGCTATGAAACAGAAAATGAAGTTCGGGAGAATAATTTGCTTTATTTCGGGTTCTCTTCGGACAAGGACGTTGACCAAGCTTTTCCTGAACTCGACAAACTTCGATGCGAGCGTCTATACCCTCATGTCTGCCATCCGGCGTGCGCTTCCAGAGGTTGCGGAGTGTTGTTCTCGGTTGATGGCATCTGGAAAGCTCACTTCCAGCACTGTGCTTTTGTTCAGCAGGCAAGTGACTTTTAAGAGGAATCAAAAGATCGTGTTGCTCAGCATGTATACAATAAAGTCACAGTGATCATGACAGGACCACTAGAGCGTAGAATAACCTAATAAAGAGAAAACCATTATCTATTAAACGTTTTTAGAATACCGTTGCAAACGTTCAGCTGGTAAACTTTCCAAATATTTGTCCAGAAGAACCGTTGTCTAAACGTGGCGAAATGTATTGCGGGCCACATTCTCTTGCTGCACAACTGGCGAATATTCCAACAAACAAAAGAAAGGTCACGCTGCAACATGCTGCAGCTAGCGCATTTCATCTTCAAGGTAAACTTTCTGTATTGGTGCAATAATCGTACTTTTATCCGATTATTCTTGCAGCGTCTGACCGGGTTTTAAAAAACTTTCGCGCTGATGAAGTGACGCTTCCCGGCGAAACAGTGGAAGTAGAAATCTCAATGCCGGAAAACAATGATTCAACAAGTGAACTGGTTTGCACAAAAAACCTAGGTGAACCGAAACTGCAGCCAGTTCGGTCACGAGGATACATATTTGTGGTGCGAGCGGGTGGTCACATCGACATGTTCTCTCCTATATATAAGTGCGCATTTATATGGGATTCAGCAGTTAGTGACACATGTACCGAACCATTGCTTTCCTGTTACAGGTCTGAGTCTCCATCCCAGGTATTCCTTATACTGATTTCTTGGATGTATCAGGTCTTACAAACAGTTCCCTCATGCGACTGGCCAAAACTTTTTTTGGCATATGATAACATGTGCAATCTGGAGCGACTGAAAGCCACGCTTCAAAAACTTTCGCTACCACCGCCATATGACGAGCTTTGGACCAAGGGGATGACGAAAGTAATCGACGGCTTCCACTTGGGCAACCACAAAGGCCATAAATGCCACACAAAGTACAATCCAGACCAAATCCGGGCGGCCTATCCCAACCTGCTCAGTGCTAATACACAGAGTTGTGAGCAGACATTCCGTTGGCTGGGAGCATTCCAGCATGCTATGTTCAAAATGACTAAGTACCGTCAACTCTTCTTTCTACACAGGATCGTTAAGCGCAGAAACTTGTATCTGGAAAAAGTTGCAGCCAATACGCGCTGTGACTCATAAACATTCAGCAGATGATGATATTACTTACAAGAAACAGCCTCGGCTTCGCCTCCGCGTTTCTTGGGTTCTAAACTCCTTGGCCGGTTTACGGATTGTTAACTTAGAACGGATAAATCTGAAGAGCCCGATAACAAAAATTTTATAAAAAAATGGATGTTTTGGTTTCGTGCAGTCGAACGCAATTACTATGACTTTACAGATCATTTTTTGTTAAATTTTCTTAGCGAAAAACCATCCGAATCCAATCACCCACGAGAGTATCACATTACAAACTAAAAGGACGCTAAGACTGGACAGTGGTGCTAGATAGGTCACCCATTAAGAACTTAGCAGGCCCTGCTCTATTTTGCTCAGTAATATTGCAGTTTGGTCATACGTTCACCTAACGGGCTCTGTGCACTGGATAGCTTTGGTAGCTCGGTCACCCACCTACCTAACGGGATCTATGCAAAGGACAGTACTGGTAACTGGGTCACTAGATCACTTAACGGAGTTTTTCAAAGCATCAAACTGCTACAAATTTTAAACTGCTACACTGCTGCTACTAATGAGGTGATAAAATTACGAACAGTATTCGCAAACGATGTCTCTTGTCCTCAGTTTCTGTGCGCTATAGTACCCCTCACTAACATTATTTTCGAAAATACTTCTAACTACAGCAATTTTTGAAGTAACTTTTAGTTCAACAGGTTTCCACAGCAACAGGTAAAGATAGCGTAAGAGCCCGAAGGCATATTTGCAGTGTTTCCTTCGGTTCCAACGGGTTCCAAAAAAGTTTCACAGGCTTAACTGGTGTCACATCAGGTAGCAATTAAACGATGTACAGTAGTTCCAACAGTTCCAATAAGTTCCAATAGAGTTCCATAGGTTCCACTGATGTCACGTTAGGTCGCAATTAAACGATGTACAGTAGTTCCAACAGTTCTAATAAGTTCCAATAGAGTTCCATAGGTTCCACTGGTGTCACACCAGGTCGCAATTGAACGATGTACAGTAGTTCCAATAGTTCCAATAAGTTCCAATAGAGTTCCATAGGTTCCACAGGTGTCACACCAGGTCGCAATTAAACGATGTACAGTAGTTCCATCAGTTCCAATAAGTTCCAATAGAGTTCCATAGGTTCCACAGGTGTCACACCAGGTCGCAATTAAACGGTGTAAAGTAGTTCCATCAGTTCCAATAAGTTCCAATAGAGTTTCATAGGCTCCACTGGCATCACAAAATGTCGCAATTAAACGGTATACAGTAGTTCCATCATTTCCAATAAGTTCCAATAGAGTTCCATAGGTTTCACAGGTGTCACATCAGGGCGCAATTAAACGATGTACAGTAGTTCCATTAGTTCCAATAAGTTCCAATACAGTTCCATAGGTTCCACAGGTGCCAAACGAGGGCGCACTGAGACAGGGCGCTAATCGAACCCACACTAGTTTCTTTGGGTTCGATTAGCGTAACCCTTGTTACACTATTCTCGCCAAAGAACGATGTACGAATATTTGCAGCAGCGGAACTTATGGAACCAATGGAACTACCGGAACTAATGGAACTTTGATGGAACCCCCTTCTTACCCTAAACGGGTTAATCTATGACTTGGCGGTTCCTGGATGCGACACACAGCCTCAGAGCATATGAACACAAGAGGAAAGAAAGACTTTCCAGGAGAACTGGCAAATTGCTTGAATACACTACTGCAGTACTCGTATATCGTGAATTTAAGGAACGACCGTCCATGGAAAATGGAATTCCACGGATGGAATCCAATTTCCAAATCCGCGCTCCATGCGACCGGCTCGGATTTGGAAAATGGAAAATAGGAAATCCGTGGAATTCCAGTTTTTGCTTGGAATTCCCGATTCCCTGTATTTGGAATTCCAAGTGCCCAGAAATGTCGAGTAAAAAATTAAAAAACTGAAAACTTTTTGTGTTTTTCAACCGGTAACTGCAATTTTTTCTGTTTGAAAAATGGCCGTCCCTATTCTGGCGCTTGCCCGGTAAAGAAAACAACGCGCCAAAGATATTGAAAAACGCCAGATTGCAACATGGGTACGCATGCATGACTCGTACAGTATCAGCGACAAGTTACTGTACTGTACCAGTGTCCATTTAACCGCACTACATCAACGCCATGTTTGTACTCAGTAAACTAAGCAGAAAACAAACAAGGATAAAATTACGCAGTACGCATTATCTTATTCAACAGGACAATCCAATGAAATTATCTGTTCGAAAAGGTACATGTATTGTCGTCTGTCACATATATCAAGAAGACTTCTTTTTTTGACCTATTCCACAAGAAAGAAGTAAACGAAAAGGGTCAGTTTGGGCGGCTACGTAAAATAAGTACAGTCTGTATTTGGACTGTCCTCTTGCCTCTTGAATAAGATATACTGTATCTGTATTATACTGTAGACCGGCGGTATCTGTACTATACTCTAGTAGTATAATATTACTGCCTTTTTTTAGGAAAAACAGATAGTTCTGTGTCCCTTAACTCTGTCTGGAGGCTTGAATGAAGTTTTAAGTGATGAATGCGCAGTATTTAAGCACGTGACGATAACTGAAATAGTGTTTTGTTAATAGTTATGTAATTAGACGGCTAAAAAACGGTATTCCAACGAAAACTATGAAATCCTTGGATTTACGGAAATCCATTTGGATTTCCATAAATCCACGGATTCCATGGAATTCCATGGCAATTTCCTTTCCAAATCCTTTCCACGGGCTCTCGCCCGTGGATTTGTCCTCCTTACGTGAATTCGATTATTATAATTATCTTAGTCGTACAGTCGTTTCTTAACCTGTCTCCCTGACGACGTCTTCTTGAAAACGCATGGAAAATTAAATATTCCTTTTGGAGCTATCGAGTTACATTCAGATGTTGTCTCATTTTTTTCTACCTGTTGGGAATGCAACGGAGATGCTGTTCGGTATCATGGCAGTGGCATTCGGATGGGTATTTGAAGGGTCTCTCGCTAAGATATTTGCTACTGGGTTATTGGTTGCAATTTGCAAAGTTTTATTTTTTCGAGGTTCCCTTCTGTCAGAAGGAAAAGCAAAATTAACTTGATCATAGAGTTCTCGTTGAGACTAGACGGTGCGCCGGATCCGATGGCCTCCTCAGAACGATAGTACAGCAATCTGTATAGATTTCTACAAGGAGGAGGAAAGCCAAAATTCAAAACATTAGTCATGTACCCGGCATGCGAACGTTCAGCAAACCCGCAAAACGAAACGCTGCCAAATACGGAATAGCTTCAATCGCGTAGCTACCGAGTAGTAGGGCTTTACAAAAATCCGTACTACATATTTGCATTGCCATAACTTTTTCCTATGCTTTTCAAGTTTAATTTTTTCCTATGCTTTTCAAGTTCTGAGCTGACAACTGGTGCATTTTCCATCGGACTGCGGCAAGCAAGTCAATGCACTAAAAGGTCACAAGGACAACAGGAATACGTTAAAATCGCGATAACAAAATAATGGTTATGATTACGTAAGCTACAACCTTCGTCGCATGATAACAAGTTTCATGTACGATCTTGGCAAACCGGAAAGAGGCTGTGGTGGAACAGAGACGAATGGTCATACGACAGAATATTTATCTCATTTCAGTACGTGCGCATTCACTGTAATGACGCTCGCATTTTTTTCGTTGGCACTACTTGTAGATTTATTGGAGATACAGATTTTTAATGGATGCGCAGTACTTTACAAACAGCATATTTCCGGTAGTAAGCCACCTGATATTCAAAACGGTGGAGTATTTGGTGTACTTGAAGTACGAGTAGCTGTGAGTCGGTATTCATTATGGAACTGAAGAACTACAATTAAACGTTACCGTTTTGCTTGCCGTCAGCGTATCTGCTGGAACGGCACATACGCCGACGTTCATGTATGCAGCGATCAGACTGAAAAGGAGATTCCCTTAACACAGGCGACAATTTAGACTATTTTTAAATTTCTTGAATATTTACGGTAATTCGGAATTCCAAATATATACCGTCATTCGTAATAATTCAAATTATCGTAATTCGATTATTATACTATCTTGATTTTTATAATTATCTTGGTGGGACAGTCGTTTCTCAATCTCCCCACTGGCGGCCAGAGCTTTGGGCGCGCCCATGTAGATGCGAGCAGTGCTAATTATTATGGAGCTATCAAGATATTATAATATTATTATTCAGATACCGTCTCGTTTTCCGCAATGTTCGTTAGAAATTTATTGTCTTAAAGAGCGTTTCACCAACTGAATGTAATTAGAAAATTTCTGAAAATTCTTCGGTAAAAAATTGCTTACCGAAGCGCATCATTTTGAAGAGTGTGTTTTGAAGATCGCAGTGGCACATTTTTTCATGACCGGTGATGGGCAAAATCTTTTTAAGTTCCACATTCCGTTAAAAATCATCGCTTTGCCGGACAGGGCAACTTATGCGTAATCCTATGATGTGCATGTCGTATGTACTTGCAAACTTCTGGATACCTTTGAACACCGGCCCACCCTTGACGACAGAACCAGTACCAGGTCGCGGAAGAGATCGCAGGCAAGCAGCATTGGCGTCCCGCGGCGCGCTCTGCAATTTGTCACGTCCGCTTTGGACTTCCGGTCTGGACATTTCTACGTCACAATACAACTTTCTACGTCACAATACTTACTTTTCGTTTAAATATAAATAAATTAATGCCCACTAAATTAAAAGAATAGACATGACGTAAATTAGATAATCAGTCACCGAGTATAAATTTTTGACTAGATTTAAATATAAAATATTTATAATTAAATAAAATACAGAAAATCGCCACAAAACGAAAAATTTCGACAAACCGTGAATCGCAGTCGATGCGAACATAAATCAATAATTATCAGCGTGGTGTGCGCAAGGAATATAGGAAATGAAATACCAAGTCATGGCCAGGAAATGCAAACGCTAAAAAAGTAAACAATCGTGATAGTGCGACATTCCACGCTTCCATCGGAATAAAATAGAAACGCACGCACGTCTTATGTCAGTAGGTTTCTAAATCTGTGCAATACAGCAGTTATTGTCAACAACCCCCAGAAATTCATGGGAAACACAAACAGAAAATAACTTTTTCATGTTACCTGATTCTTTTCCACATCTCCATTCAAATGACGACGCAGTTTATCCATGTTCATCATATGCACTTCACATCGTCTAAATACAACAAACAAATTAGCCAAACTCCGTGTTAGCGACCTTTTATTGCTATGCTAACCGCTTTTAATATAGTACAATCACGCGTAAGTTTTCTCGCTTCTATGTTAATGTTTTATTATCTAATTTGTGCAACTGAATATACAACTCAGTGGTATTAAGATTCGGTACTTGTAATTATATATAAAGATTGCAATTTGGTGACGTAATATATAACATCGTACGTGACAAAACGCAGAGCGCGCCGCTGGACGCCTATGCTGCTCACGCAATCTGCTGAAAGCCCCAAGAATCGATGGATCACCGCCTCGCGCTCGGACAGGAAGAAGCGTTCTTCCTCGCGAAGGCAGACGTGATACCAGACAAGATCCACTAACCACCGAACGATCTAAGCGAATCTGTGCTGCTTGCCTTTACGGATCAAAGGTACGCAGTTAACCACGCTGAGAAGTACGCGATGGAAATCCTAAACCCGCACGCAACGGAACGCGTCGAAAAAATATTCCAGCGCAGCACCGAACGCGCTTCGCTACACGCAACAAAACGTGCGTTCCTTGCGTGCGGCGTCAACTGCTTTTCCGCTGCTTAATCGAAGTTGCAGACCAACGCTTGATGTACACCGAGCGTCCATTGCACGTGGCAATCGACCCGGAAGAACTCCTACGTACACAGGATATGACTGTATCTCGGCTAGTGTGGTTGTGGGGCTTTCCACCAATGCCGTTCTTCAAAACTCTGCGGTTGAACAGTGGTTGCTTATTGCTGACCATGCAGACATTCAACTGCGAGAATATGGCAAAGAAATAAAGTGGAAAACCGAATCTCGCTAACTGATTGGATACAAAGGTTACCTTTGCTTGCGAATCCCACAGATCGGATAGTAAATTAACTGCTGCATCTATGGAAAGTGATACGGATGACCTTCAACAAATAACGGCACACGGTCAGATCTGAGGATACTTATAGCTTCTATTTTTATCTAAATTGTAATGATGGTACGCGGTCAAAAAACGACTATGATTTTCGAGTGGTTACTGACTGCGATGCGAAAGGGAAGCACTGAAGTCCCGGAAAACATGGACAACCACCCGGCTTTCTAGAACAATGTCGAACATCTGGATAAAGAGCATCGCAAGCGATTAGCAAATATTATTTAAAGGAAACACATATCTATATATGGCTGTTATACAGATATGCTATAGTGTTAAAGCAACTTAAAAATATCAACAAACAATTGGATAAATTATAGGTAATAACTATAGAAAAACCAGTAACCGATAATGGCATTTAATGCTGGAAGCATTAAATGTCGTTAACGCAGAGCTCACGTAGTGCTTGGCAACGAAATATGTTGTTCGTTGGAGCTGGAAGTATAGCGCAGGGCGTAGGGCTTGTGAGAAAATTATCGTAGTAGATTGAGTTTTCGTTTGTATATTTCGCGCAACCATGAAAATTTTTACCGACGCATGTGGTTCTGGTTGTGGTGGTATATTTGGCTCTCAGTGGTTCTATATCGCCTGGCCGGACAGTGTACTCCAATTAAAACCGCACATAACCTGGTACGAAATGGCACCGATATTTTTTGCGTGTTCCATTTGGGGAGTACACTGGCATGGAAAACGGCTGACCTTTTACACCGATAACCAAGCAGTAGCTCTGGTTTGGACAAAGTTTTCTTGCAAGCATCCTGGTGTCATGCATCTTATTCGTTCAATTCACTTCGAAGCAGCGCGCTACAATTTTCATCTGCGAATAAACTATCTTCCGGGTTGCGAGAATTTAGCGGCCGATGCCTTATCTCGACGCGAGATGGTCAACTTTTTTAACGTATATCCGACAGCGTCTCCTGAACCTAACGCTTTCACGCCCGATTTTGCTGCCTTTCTTCCCAGCCTTGCCGATTCTAAACGGTCACGTTCAAAGTATTATTTCGGCTGAATATTCGTTATGTTTATCACTAATTGTATTTATTCTTGTTTTAGGATACCCGCATAATGCCCAGTTTAATTGCACTATTACATCGCTCTTGCACGCTCATTTAGCCCCTTCAAGCCGCCAAGCTTACGGAGTTGCATTACGCTGCTTCAACCATTTTTGTTTGGTTTTCAAGTATTGCGCGATGCCCTCGGATTCTCATGTCATTCGGAATTTTTTAGCATATTTATATCAGAAAGGTCTTTCATGTGCAACTGCACGTGTTTATTTTTCTGCAGTAGTGACCCATCGCTTACTAAACGGATATAGCGATCCCGTTCCGGACAAGCGGTTTTTGGAGTTCATGTTTTCCGGGTGGATGAGAATCCGTGGGCAACCAATTCGTAAACGAGATGGAATTACTCTGGACAAGCTAACTTTTCTATTGCGCTATATTTCTTCTTTGCCTGTTCCTCCGCACACTATTGCTATGTTTCGCGCTGCCTTATGTCTTTCTTTCTATGGTTTTCTTCGAGTTTCCGAATTTTGTGCACCAAAGCAAGCAGCTGTTTCCAGTTCAACTCTCCTAAGATCTGACATAGTTTTTTTCTGATCGCTGTATCCGGATTCTTTTAAAAATCTCTAAATCTTCTCAGCTGACTCCTGTCACCGTTCTCATTCCTAGCTTGCACAGCGAAACCTGCCCAGTGCTTAACTGTAGTACTTATCTTTCTTTTGGAGATCGTATTCATACTCCTACGTCTCCTCTATTCCTTTCCCCTGATGGATCATTTCTAACTCGTCAATATCTGTCTTCATTATTAAAACGAAGTCTTGGCCATGCGTATTCTTCTCACTCGATAAGAATTGGTGCAGCCTCCACAGCAGCCATTGCCGGAATTCCTGCAGAGCAAATCCGCATGCTCGGACGTTGGCCGAGTGATGCAGTTTATCGTTATATTTAGTCTGATGTTTCTCATATTTCCAGATTGCTTTTTCGGATGTCGTCTGTGCAGTGTGCAGTAACCGGTCTACATTAAAATATTTTGCTCATCCGTTTGTTAAAGCAACTCCGGTGGGGTGTCCGGTGCGGTTTGTGTTGATTTGCCAAGCGACCTGCGGTTGCCTTTCGTCGTCAGTGCACCGTACGGACATTGCGCGGCGTAGACGACAAGCCCCGGCATCCTCAAGCGGCAAAGGTTTACTTCCGAGAGCTCGATAGGCGTTAATTATGAATAATGTTTACGTAATAATTCTGCGCTTAGTGCGCTAGTCCACCATATTAGAAGAGCACACCCGCGTAAGCGGGCAAACTGAAAAGTACTTCGAAAGTTTTTGGGCGAGGCGATAACGGAGATACAGTATGTGCCCAAATTGTGAAAACGGCGGATTGACTGCAGAATCGGCATACTTTAAAGGGTGAAGAAGTGGGTGTACAAATATCAAAGCAAAAGTTGTATCTGCGAATGACCTCTTTGAACCGAATTAGTATTTAAGGATCCGCTAGAAGATCTCATCTTGCTAATGTCTTCGTTGCCATACTACAGCACAGGATTCAAGAAAGTGAAGAAACAGTTGATTAATCTGAAACGCGAATATAAAAATTTTAGCGTGCACTGACTCATTAACGCCGGAAGTGAGATTAACCTTTACCGGTGGTTTCCGGCCGGTTTCAAGTTTCCGATTTCCGTTTCCTGTCACGTTTCCGACAACTGGTCGTCACGAACCAGTGTGAGTTCACTGCGAACCCATAGTTTATTCCGGGCAATGTGAAAATGCGGAAAAAGCTCGACTAGAAGAGGTCATTTTTGCGGAAACTTCTGCTCAACGAGCCTTGTTGACAGAACCTCTGGAAACTAAAGCTGTAATGTGGTGCACAAAATGCACATTCCGCACACCCGTTATTGATTGGCCATAGATACTGGGTATACGGAAGGTGCACCTTTATTCCAGAGGAAGATCGGTTCTGGAGGAAACTCCAATGCGAATCCATTGCGAAGAACCAGCACGGACAATTCTTTTTTTAAAAAAGTAAAACCTTCAAGAATCTTTGTCAAAAGAATTACGTCGAGAATTCCTTGGATCGTGAAGAGGTGCCTAAAGTTAGCAAAGCAAGCGGGGCGGGAATGCGAGCGTTAGATCAAAGGACAAACTTTAATTTTAAAGAACGCTCATAAAATACATTAGCTTGTTCCTTTATAATTGACTTCCGGAGAATCTCAGCAGTCAGCCTTCAATAATGCTTTGAACGGGATCATTTAAAAAAAATCCTTGGTAGACATATCTTTTCACCAATTACGACGTCAAGAAAGTCAATGATAATTTCGATCGGATGCCACTTAAAACGCCAACGCTTATATTACGGACAGAATATGCATCACCAATACCCTAGAAGATTCCGTTCGACCTGAAACGCTTACCAGTATTGCGGACTGTCTACGACTAAAGGGCAATTAAAATTAGTATTTTTTACATTACCAATTCGCATCATCCTACTAATTCCCATAGTTATTATAACTTTTACAACTCTTGTAATTGTTCCCTATCTTAACTTATTTTCAATTTCGTAATTTTTCCGATACAGATTTACGACATGAAATTTTATGCGGATGTAGATTGTAGATCCCGTAAACTGGTTTTGTGGAATTCAGATCGGTTTGTGATGGTCACTTCAGTTAAGTCAGTACAGTACTGGGTTACGCTAATACTGGACAGTATGGAGAAGGACTACAAAACATTTCCTTGCACATTCTTAAGTCGATCGAAACCTTTCCTCACGAAGCCAGCACCGGCGTCCAGTCATTCGAAGAAGCTCAAGAGAAAATCGAGGAAGCCAGAGATGCCGTTCTGGCTCTTGATTTGGAGAATGTGACAGAAAAACATGCAAAGTGGCATGGGTAATTGAGTGTTTTCGATAGCAAGCGTAGTATTACTTTACTCAGCTAAAGTACGTAAGTAAAGAGTTACAGTCTACATAATTATGTTAATCATGAATGTATCATATCCCAAACCGATTTCACGGCCTGTCTTACCGAACCACCATCCAGCAACTGTTCTTCCGGGTAAGACTCACTTTTTCCTCGTGGGGTTGATCCGGATCCGAAACCATAAGAATCATCAGTCCCGAAAACGGATAAACAAAAACACCCATAATCAACAGCTGTGTTGACATAAGGATAACATAAGGAAGCACACGACAACGTAAAACATAAGAAAACATACCATACAGTACAGTCTTAATAGCCCCTCCCAAACGCTTAAACAGGGCATCGTCCGGCGGTTTAGGTCCCGTGTTGCAGGTATCGCTCGCACTGGGTCAATTTGTCGAGATTCCCGAAAGACTTGAAGGTAAGACTGAGAAATCCGTAACGGCAACTACTGTTGGGTTTTAACATCGACGCGAAGAGTACAGGACTGCTGATGGGCGATGCCTCGGCACGTTAACGTGGTGTATTGTGGAAATGTCGAACAATTTTATTTTGGACAAAGTTGTAGATCGAAGTACATGGTGCGACAAAATCAATAAAAATACTTAATACCAGTTAAATTCTACGATACTCGTGAGTCGTAACGATGTGACAATGATAAAGTAAATAATACTGAGCATGGCTTGGAGCGAGTATCAGCAATGGCCAACTATTGAGTATCTGTACGTTTTACTTTTTAGAAATTTCGGTTGCTACCGTAGTCAACGAGCCAAACTTAGGCTGGAATCGAACTGATTTACCATACGGTAAGTGCTTGACAGTTACTTATTTGGTGCAATTATATGTACAAGTATAATGTTGTATAACGCCACCCAGTAGCGGGAATTTCGACCGGCTTCGAAATGTTTGGGTTTACATGCGAAATTAGAGGAGATCGGTCCATAAAGAGACTTCGGGTGCACCTGAACGCATTCAGACTCTTTGTAATTTTGTTACAACCATAACTCCCGAAACGGATGTTGTGCACAAAAATGGTTTTCACGCCTAGAAGTATGTATACAAATAATCTGACTACTTTATGTCATAAATCAGGGCAAAAAAGTGTTTGGGAGTTGGAAGTGCGCAAAAGTGAAAAGTGAACGTTTTCGTGCATGCATCTGTATACGAATTTCGTACCATGTACCGGGTCAGTGGTCATATCCCTTAAATAAAATTGTCCATTATGTAAAATACTATAAAATACAAAACAAAGACGTTAAATATTATTTATTTTATAAATATAGATAATATATGTAACATTTCAGCTTTTAATGATATCCGCTTCGCACGGCAAAAACCAGTACAACCACAATCCAGACTGCTACAATATACATTTAAAAAACGGCAATAAAAACTTTCCGGTTAAAAGCCATAAAAAAACACCAAGAAAAAAACCACAAGCGTGTGTAAAAAATGTTCATCCACTCCAGACAAAAAAAGAAATCGCCAAAAAGCTGGTGAGAAATTAAACACCAAAGACAAACTACAAAAAACACCATAAATAATTAAAATAAAATCCTCCCGTTAATCTCATAGCCACCCGCCGCGGGGAACCGTGTTCACGAGAAGGAATTCGACGGCTCCTGCTTAATCAGCCCATTCGCGAACCCGAACATGTCGGCCCCCGGGGGCGACCGACTCCCGGCGGGGGCGGCGCCCCACGCCCCACCCGCCCCATTAGCGCCGCCGAAACTCGACTGCAGGAACTCCGACACCGGGCCCATGACGTTCAGGCCCCCCAGATGGCCGTTCCCGGGGGCGGTGGCCCCTGTCGCACCCCCGTTGGGCGGGAGGAGGAGCTTGCGCTGGAATTCCTCGTTCTCCACGTCGACGGCGATGGAGCGGAGGTCGCGGGTGGGCTGCTGGAGGAGGCGGGTGAGGAAGCCCTCGATGGGGAGGCTGGGGAAGAGCTGCGAGAAGAAGAGGTAGTCGGGGCATTTCAGGCTGATGCTGCGCAGGGAGGGCAGGCGTAGGAGGATCTTGGCGAAGCGGGAGAAGTCGGCCGGGTGCATCTGGTGGCAGTGCTCTTCCAGGCCGGAGTACAGTTTCTCGCGGCAGGCTTCCACGCGCTCCGTGTTCACTAGGCCTTTGGCATCTGTGGGTTATCGAAAAAAATCAGTAAAATTACTAAAGAAAGCTATAAAAAAATCACTAAAAAAAATCCGCATTTAAATCAATAATGACCAAAAGCCAATAATAAAATCCATAGTAAAATTAATATTCCTTAATAATATCTATAAGATAACTGACTATTCCCAAAAGCGTTGTTATTGTCAGCACAACTACCGTAGCAAAACTGGCGCAATAATAGAATTAAAAATAAAATTTCAACATAAAGAAAACAAAACACAATGCAATTTAATAAAAAGACTTTTCCTAGAATCCATTTTTCAAAAAGACGGTAATTTTTCTGGAAGGGTTTTTTAAAGCTGAATAAAAAAATTTTTATGTATAACCTTATTTTAGTTAATTTAGGAAGGATATTTATACGCACCAATAAGAGCGAAATTAAGTAGTATTTTACTGCATCTAAAACGGCCATAATTCTGCCCATTACTTACTTGTTAGAAAAGCAAAATTTTATATAATACAGCCCTGCTACGCCAAGTTGGGACAGTTGCACAAAATAAATTATAAAATATTTGTATTTATCGTTTTACTTGTATCCTTTAACATTACTAGTGTAACTTTTTATTACAAATCCAGAACTGTTAAAACCATCAAGTTCGAGTCTGCCAGTGGCGAGCCAAGCGGTTATTTAGGGGGCGGGGTGGTGATCTGTTTTAGAGCTCTTATAACTTCCTCTTTAAAAAATTCACCGATCGATATTTTCTCGAGGACTTTTTTGAAATCTATTGAGAGACCCAAAAGGTGTCCATCGCAAGTTGGCAAAAGAATTGTGCTCAACCAGTGCTCGCGGTCGGCACGAAATTAAGGGACGTTCCCATAGACAGCTATGTTATAACCAATCATCGGGAGAACTGGGTTGCCTAGCACACATAGTGTTGTATCCTCGAACTGATATTTTCCAAGGATGACACAGAGATAACGTCATTAAAATTTAATATTTTGACTGACATCTATTGCACAGAGGGGAAGATGGTTGGTCCGAAAAAGGGGAACAAAATATCAACAAAGCTGCAGATAGAAAACGATATAGTTGCTGTTTGAACTCTCTGGGACGGAATACCCCGGGCTTATTGTGCGGATAGCGAGACTTAAATTGACACTATAAACTTCCTGAACGAGATTTTACCAAAACAATTTACATTCGGCACCTTGCGACTGTATGGCGAGCATGCAGAGGAAGTCATCCTCCAGTTTTCGGGCACCTGCAGTCAGACTGCAAAGGTCACTCACACCTGGCTGAAATCGACTAGCATACAGGACAGTTTGCAAGAGTACTGCATCGCGAACAATCTAGAGTTACCAATTTAAGACTATCACACCAAAAGAATTTTTAAACAAATTCTAAATGGGAAGTGTCCAATCAGATCGATGGATCGAATCATATTTTCCAACTAGTCTGCTCTAGTTTTAATCTCATTATAATTCGAAACAAGCTTCCAGCATGAAAACCTCAAATGCAAAAGATGTTGGACAAACATAGGGATCATGTGAACATTTGATAAGTTTTAATCTGGTGTCGGCTGATTCATGGGAATATTTGGGAAAAACTGTCCCAACTTGGCGTAGCAGGGCTGTATAAATCATGAGAAAATTTTCAAGGGCGTTATTTTTTCAGTTTCAGAAAGCTTACCACCACCAGCAAAATTCAAAAAAATACCAGCCATTTTACGTGATCTGTAGCGTGATGAAACCAGCTTAAAATCACGCATAATTCCACACGGCCCAACCGTTGCGGCAATCCGCTTCAACAGCCGCTTTAAACGCGTATACCGTTGGTTGTTTGTTGACTAACAAGTGCACAGTGAGAGAATGCCTACCGGGATTGAAGAGAATGATGCCGCGCAGGCAGGCCAACTCGAAGCTGTCCACTTGAAGATCGGTCAGCTTGGCGATCAGTTCACACGACATCCGCTCCACCAGACCGCTCAGGCCGAACAGCGAGGCCTGGGAGGGGCTGATGGCCATGCCGGAGGACAGCACCAGGCCCTGCTTGAAGTTGGCGAACATGGCGCGGGCGCCCATCGCCGACAGATGCAGCTCATTCCAGCCTAACACACAATTAACAACACATCATCACCGTACTGAGTCGTGTATGAGCACGAAACACTGGGCAGCGTACACGCTAACACGGAAAACAGCACCTATAATCTGGTTATCTTCGGTTGCGGCGTGCGTGCAATAAAAATATTCCCACGGCTCCGACAAAATTTCGAAAAATAACTGCGACAGCAATACCAAAAAATCTCCATTGGAGATGTTTTTTTACTGTGCTGGATCTGCAGCATTGTAATTAACCTATTAAAAGCTGATAATGTCGAATTTATTATTATTAATTAAGCCTTATAGTGTAAAAGAACTAGGCAACTTCTAATAAACAAAAAATTACAAGAAATGCTTAAAAAAATCACCACAAATCATCCGACCATAGTAGACAGAGCACGGTTTGTTTTTATGGCACACTCGTACCAAAAACAATTAAAACGTAATTCAATAAAAACAGCAAAAATCAATAAAAATCGGCCAACACACTGTCACGGCATTTTTAGTTTTTCCAGGACGTACCGCATTTAATTAGGGCCACCTGGTCGTCCAGCGACAGCTCCGTGACCACCGGACAGCGTTTGACATACATGACGGCCAGATGTAGTTCCTTCTCGCAGATATCCACCAGCTGGCGGTTAGTATCCGGTTGCTGCAGCATCCCGTGGCCGAAATCCAGCGGCCGCACATGCACCTCCCCCGGCCCGGCCAGGAACGCCCCCAACATCATGGCGTCGGCCTCCTGCAGCCGGCTCAACGAGAACTCCACCGTGGCGGCGCTGTTGAATGCCGGATTGGGCGTGGCCGTCGTCGTCGACACGGCGGCGAACCCGTAACTGCCGCCCTATTAATATTATCATTAATATTATTGTCGCACTACAATAGGCAAACTCTATCAAGGAAAGTGACCCGGCATATATGGTGCCAAATTCGGGTACATGCACGAAACGTTTCGCTTTCGCACACTAGCAATCAGGTGTACCAAAAGTCTCATTAAGGACCGATCTCCTTCCAATTTTGCACAAAAAGGCACGTAAGCATAGAGCTCGTTTTGACACGGAACCGAAATTCTGGAATTTTTTTCCAGTTTACAAGAGAATTCTAAATTCTTGAAATTGTTTTCAAAATTTAAACAGCATGATGGAAACCTGGTGTTGTATAAAACGATCTCTACTCGTATGCTTTTTTAGGCAAAATTTGAAAGGAACCGGTTCATAATGAGACTTGTGGTGCACCTAAACGTTTTGGAATTTTCTTACAACCATAACTCCATAACCGGATGTTGAGCGCACAAACGGTCTTTTCGCCAATGTAAACAAATCATCTGGCTGCAGAATGTCATAAAAACAAAGTTCAGGAGCCGCGCGAAAGTGAAAGTTTTCGTGTATGCACACGAATTCGGTACTAGTTTGATGTAGTACCAGATCACCATCTTACCAGGCTTTTGGAAAATGTTTTTGTCAATTTAGAAAATTTTATAATTTTTTTAAGGTTAGATTTTAAGAGATAAAAGTTACCTAACCTATGGAACGAAGTCAGGACATACAATCTCAAAACCAGGCGTACTAACACCAGACTACGGGCAATTAACATATCAAATGTATGATGATAGTTGTAGTTTATACGGTTTTGCATAATTCAAACCAAACGAGTACACGGTTTAAGAAACAGCTAATGAAACAAGAGCTCATGAAATGTGCGATTATTATTATCGCAGCTACCTGGCTGCTGGATTCCGGCTCCATGTCGGCGGAAGACGCCGTACTGCTGTTCAGCGTGTTGCTGTGGCCGCCGCTCTTGTGGCGGTTCTCCTTGGCGCGCAATCGCTCCTCCTGAACGGCTGAAAGAACAACTATACCCGCTTAATCTTCGTAGGGCTGTTCTGCGTAAAATAATGCAGGAGGACGGACAAATGTGCCGGAAACGGGGGACTAGTACCTTCCCGCCGCATGCCCATCTCCAGGCATTTCTGATAGCGACAATACTGGCAGCGGTTGCGCTGGCGTTTGTCGACGATACAGCTGCGCTCTTCGCGGCAGGCGTACGTTAGATCCTTGCGAACTGTGCGTTTGAAGAAGCCTTTGCATCCTTCGCAACTGCAAAGTACATAATTTTAATAATAATAATTATTATTAATTTAATAATAATTTTTAACCGCATGCAGAAAATTTTAAATAAATTTGACCACAATTTATTACAATATATAAATATACATAAAAAATTAAAATATAAACGAGCTATATAAAATATATTCTACAAAAAACATACAACTTTTAATGAGCCGACTTGGTCTTCCACCATTAACTGTCGCGGTACATTCGTCGTTTTGCTTCGAATAATTCCAAACTTTAAAAACAAATGTCTCTCAAACTTCATATTGCAACTTTTAATTGTTTACAATTAGTTTCAAATCTGACGAAACTGTTTTACAAATTTTTTATGCCAAAAAATGTTTAATAGAACCTTGAAAAAATAAATCCTTTTAATTACAAATAATTCAATTACATCTTATTTTCTGCCAATATTAACAGCGACTTCCAGCAAATTCAGAATTATTTTTTCTAAAAATCGCACAAATTTTAATATACATTTATTTCACCAAATTTCTATGTCAAAACAACACTTGATTTCGACGTGACATTTTCCTGTTTTGCACTACCGCATCACTGGGCAATCAAGCCATCCCTTTGTACATCGAACAAGGGAGCGCCCAGAAAATTGTCACAACCGCACGTGAACGCAACCAGCGGGAATAATTACGCACTTGCACTACCATCTCACTATCGCTGCTTATTTTGTGAATTTGTGGCCAGCGATAATTCCCGATAAACCACAGCGCCATCACACCGGGAAATCACTGTCCTAATTCGGCCTAATCACCCGTCATATCGCGATAATAACCATTTATCAGGGGAACATTGACATTTGCCCGTGTATAGCGTGACCCGGCGTATCAGATGCAGGAGGACACACACGATAAGGTTACCGCCAATTACGCAACGGAAGTCAGTACCGGCGCTGCAACCGTACACCGCGCAATCAGGAGAACAGACAATCGTAATAATTGTACGATACGCAATATACACACTCGTGCATTTCTCTCAAGACTTGGAAGGCGCTCACTCCTCCGAGACCGGCCAGTCGGGTCGTCAAACATTTCAAGGTTAAACCAGTAAAATACGCGCAGCCTGGCAGAACAACTCGGATAATTATGCACTACACGGTACGGCTGAAACTGATTTTTTACTTGAACATTTTTCCGAGTTTAAATAAAATTACAATAAATTCCGGAATAAAACGGCGCTCCTGAAAACCGGCACTGTTTCGCAAAAATTAATAATTTTAAATTTTGCACATGGTTAAAAATTTAACATTAGACCAATTCAAGCAGCGACAATATTCTAGCAAAATTCACATTATTTCCGGCTGAATTTGCAGCTGCTTCGGCTTATAAAAATACTGTACTGTTCATTAATTCAGAATCCCAAGCTTATTATTAAATTCATCATTAAATAATCAATATTATTTCGACCCTTCCCATCACATTCGAATAAAACAATTAATTAATTAATAATTCTACAGTATTTTTCTAAAAATAATTCTCAGTGAAATAAACAAATGGTATGTCCAGAAAATGCGCGCATCGGGTAAGAAGCTATTCAAGCTACCCAATAAAAATGCAGAAAAATAATGCCAAGTTCGACATTTATTTAGAAAAAAATCTGGATAAATCTACAATAATTTACTGTGACATGCTGAAAAGAAATGCCATTAAAATAAAAAGTATGTTAAAAAAATAAACGCATAAGATAAGAAATTACTCCAACATTACTGAATTTACTGTTGAAAAAATAAATAAAAATGCCAATTTACGAAATTTATTCACCAAAAATCTGGGTAAATTAGCAAGCGCCTTGTTAATGCCACTGTTGATTGTACCAACTTAACAAGCTCATAAAATATGTTTTCTTTAACGGCTTTACGCCAGCGCCAGCCCCGCTGGCGATACAACATACATCGGTGTTCTATCGAGAACATCTGCCGTGATTGCCACGACGACGGCCGGTCGTCACTCAGCTCCGGCTTTTTCGGTCAACATGCGCCGGGGCCCATAAAAACCCATGCGCACACCGCACAAGGCAACATACTGCCACACTTTCTTTTTGACCAACATACACTAATATTACTACGCACACATTTCCCTAATAATCAGCTATTTCTACTGTCCGCCGACCCCAAAACCGGCTAATTTCTGACGAAAAGAAAACAAAGAAGCCCCAAGAGAGAGTGCTGTCGCCGACGTGCAAATATTTTATCCGAGAATATTCAATTTCCAAAATCTGTTTTACAAAATCCAAATAATGTAATTCGCGCTAAATAAATGCGGAAATAATTGTTTAATATACCATTTGAAAAAATCAAGCACAACCACCAAACAGAAAAATCATTACCGTAATTACTGCAAAAATAAATTATTTAAAACTATAAATTCCACAATAAAATTGATAAATTTTGTTTTTGTCATGTCGTTCGTTTTCTAATACGCACAACTGTTGAAAAAATTACCATACAACGATCAACAAATATTCCACCAAAACAGTAAAACTCAAAGTGAACAAAAATACAAATGGAAAATCCATCAACGAAAAAATAAATGCGGCTCGACACATTGAAAAACTGTATCGCCTATGCCATCACCCGCATACTGTACCAAACACCACGAGTTGCGCCGTAAACCAAACGGCTAAAAATCACAAAAATCGATCTGTCACTCACCTGAAGACACCGTAATGCTTCCCGGAGGCGCGATCCCCACAAATACTGCACAGATGCTTGGAGATCGACAGGGGATGATTGGGGGGATACAGCAGGCCACTATTACTGCCCGTCGTACTGCCCGCCGGACTGGGGGCCTGCAGGGATCCACCCGCTCCCCCCTGCATGACGACGGTGGAGGGGGAGGGTGATGCGCTGGCGTCCAGATCCAGCGCCGCCGCCCGGTTCATCAACAGATCCGTACTGGAATGGGCCGGCGTGAAGGTCAGACCGGAGCTGGATGTCGTCGTACTGATGGTGTTGGTGGTGGCGTCCTCGTCGTCGTCCTCCGAGGAAGAGATGGGCGACAGGGGGGGTGCTGTGGCCACCGAGACACTGTGTTTGACCGCGGAGGAGGGGAAGGAACGAGAAATATTCATCAGAGATTAATCATCTGTTACGCGGATCATTCGGATATCGGTGCAGAATGTGGAGAGTATTGATATTTTCCACCAGGAAAATATTTATCCGCGACGCGTCCGATTGGTGTGGTGCAGCACTGCTCTGAAGTATTACGATGCTGTCAGATGGCGTGTTGCAACATGTTCAGGTGCAAAGCTGCCGTAGCAGGTTTGACGGTGACGGACATTTTTCTCGATTGACCAGAGGGAAGCTGAAGCACGAGAGAGAGAGAGAGCAAGCTCTGAGAATGAGAAAAATATGCTATTGCAAGCTTGCCAACGAGCTCGCCAAAACGAGTTTAGTGGGTCATGATTTATATACGGCAAACAAGTATAAAGGCAGACTCGACACAGCCGAGATGTACAGAAAGAGAGAGAAGTACGGCGGATGAGACTCAACGTGAGAGAGAGAGAGAAATTAAATGGCTCTCTCGCTTTCCTCACTGCGGCTACTTTTCAATGCACTCCGCGCTCTCCATTGGCAGGTCCAAAACTTGTACACGTCAGCATCATTGTACCGGGATCGCGTTAGCTGCGCACTAATTCGCTTTATTCTACATTCTACTTATTTCTACATAAGCTGTGTACTTCAGCTTTTCTATGATGTCTGATGAATTTTAAAAAGGAACAAAGCAACTTCTTATTTCATTCGCGCAAAAAAGTAATACGTAAAATAAATTTTTATTTACGCTGCAGCCTGTACAGACAAGCACGAAGTGACACTAATCACGCAACGCAATCGATTTCTTCAGAATATGCTACCAAATTCCCAGTACTGCATGATACGTCTACCCGCCCGAGCTGGCAGATTCGTAATGTTCTGCGCCCGCTCTATTCAGAATTTTGACACAACAAGCTAGAAAATTACCGGCTCTAATTACGTAAATAAATGGCTAACCAAGTTTACAAAGTAATGCAAAGCCGCGGCCGCAGTCCGTGTTTTACACAGTATATTTTGTTTGTAAAATAAACTTTTAAGCATGATAAATTATGTAACATGTTCCACCTATAAAATGTAAATTGCGCGCTCAATTCAATGGAATTTTCGCATTGTGGAGCCGCGAGTCCCGACTACTAAAAAAATGCAATTATTTATTTACGGTTACTTATTTATAGGAAGGTATCTCTTCAAACTTTAATTAATTATGAAAAAAATTTTTATGCAACTTCGAAGTTTTCCATTGTACGAGTGCGGAATATGGCAAACCGGAAACGCAGGCGCCGTAATTCAACAGCGTTTTAAAACCGACGGCAGCAAATTTCCTTCATCCTACTGGAAAGCAAAGCTATTTATAATTTTTTTTCCAAGTAGGACTTACAAACGCTGATCGGACAAACGTGTTCGTTGAACGTTGTTGGGCCAGCGCGTAGCACCAAACCGGTGCACCGTATTAGTCCCCATTATCAAGTACAGAGTACCCGCGTATACCGATGTGTACTTCGGTAGATCTGCATAAAGCGGTGGTGTGTGCGACCTTGAGAGAGTTCACGGGTGTCACCTGCTGAGCGTAATGCAAACAGCACGCTCAACCTGTCCGGCGGTGTGTGTTCCCGGTTGCAGTCGCGGTAATGTGAGCCGGCAGCGTCATATCCATAATACTCGTATGTTTACGAGCAGTCCGGGCTTTATTAGCCAACAGCCCGCTTAACAAAGGCATTTAATAAATGTGCCCGGACGAGATGTAAACCGCAACCGTGTACATACGCACAACTGCACTGCCCGCGACCGGATTTCCACTCGACTGCTAAACCGCAAACGAGCAGCTAACCGTAAGTGGAAAATGTGCTCCACAAAATACATACACAGCCACTTTAGTCGAAATGCATGCGTAAAAGCTAAGGTGGGGCATTAGAAAAAAAGTGCGTATTGCATATGATTTTTATATGATATGATTTATAATGCTGTAAAAACGGCGCATATAATTCATATTCTTGAAAATACTTCCAAAAACAAATTAAAACTTATTTCCGTATAAAATTATTTTTATTGCCGGCAATACAATTGGACGTTTTTGGCCATTCGGGCATTTTTCGAAATATGGATTTGCATACCGGACTCCAGAGACACGATGTTCTCCGTGTTGTTCAAATGCGTTATAATTAGCGTTTTATAGCATTTAAGAGTACAGTACGAGGTCATGATCACTACGAGTAATCAAAAATTATCAAGTTTTCTAATTTTGAACAAAGGAAAAACGACCGTTTCTATAGTGTCCTTTCCGCGAATCCATATTGCTAAAGCGTCCGAAATACGGAAGCAAATAACTTATTACGACTGCGCGTTATTTGGCATCAAAGTTACAGTGCGTTATTTTGTGTATATGTATCTCCGGAATTGTTGCGTCACGCCGACAAATCTGTCGTCATTATATTGTCGATGGCAGCTCATATCTGGGAGTCGCTGTGCAATATCTGTACCATATAGCCATTAGTTAAATTACTTTTTTGCTAACCTCACTACGTACAAGTTTTCAACGGGTATAGTGATCTAATAACTTCAATTAATCAAAATTTTTTATAGGCCGGAAGATACGTACAAAGTTCATTAACAGTACAAACAGCCTATCCGGCCCCGATCGGACATCAAATTTTACTGTTAAATTTTTTTAAAAATTTACAGTCGGGTGCCCGTGTAAGGAGAGAAGCGGCTCATGTACAGCGCCAAAGTGTTTTAAAGGTTTTCAACACTTTCCCCCGTGGTACAGTGGTACTGCCTTCGCAGATCTTACGACGCAGCCGGGGTTCGATGCACGGTCATCATGCACCCATCGGTGCATGTTTCGGACGTTTCTTTGTTTCCCTCAGGCTGCGCCCGGCTTACTCCCCGGACTGCCTTTGAGCGGCTGTTAGTACGCATTTCCGTCCGGTGACGGCATGCAATAATCACTTGGATTGCGTAAACGGTAGACGTAATCATGTCAGTGCACCGGTCGGGGAAGTGGTTGCGGCGGCGGGCGAGAATCACAGGACGCACATGCATTTAATCGGCGAACGTGGCGCGGAGTTTAATTTCTTCTTGTCGCTAGGCTAGGCGGAATATTTGTGCTCTGAAGGGATGCCGCAAAAAGCTCGGAATGGTTAGTTGTCCGGCTCATAACGTCTTTGTTTTAGCTGGCATAGTCTGAATAAGAAAAAACACCTGGATGGTTCCTCATGATATACGTTAATCACTCGCGTTTAATATCGGTCGGAAGAATTCTCGTTTTGAGAACTGCCTTTTGATTTCCTGCAGATATAGGTTCTCGTAAAATTCCTTGTCAAAATGTAATTTCATACAAATCATGAAGACTCATCTCATTACCGTTGTTGCTAACAATGATACTTGCTGTGGGCGTCGCTAAATTTTGGCCAATTTGATTGACCGTTAAATACAGCGCTCGCTTTAACAGCTTAAATAATAATTAGTGCTTCAAGTATAAATGTGATAATATAAGTGTAATGCCGACGTATTTTTGCATTCCGGACACATTTACAATATGAATTCGCGTGCCGGACACCAGAGACATAGCGCTCCATCACTTCTATGCGTTGTTCCGCATAAGAAGGCTTGATAATTTTTATTGATCTCGTGCACAAGCGTGTATAAAACAAATCAGTATCACGTAATGATACGGTGTTTACTTTGTACGGTACGCGAATCCATATTGCGAAAGCGTCCGGAACTCGGGAAAACGTCGACTAGCAGACATATTTATAGTGATTCATTATCATTGCTAAACAGTGCATACAAAATGCTGGTTAGGCTTAGAGTTCTGTCACTAGTCCTCATGGTTGTTGCTCCGAAGCAAACGGATTCGTTTGTGTGTAACGCAGTTACTGCCAGCTACCAGGACTTGACAGTCCGTTCTGGCATCTTCGTTCGGACGTTCGGTCAGCGGTCCGTTAACGGTCTCGCTCGCTTCCGTATTCCAGAGATCCGCTAATCCATCTGGATGCAATGGATCTGTCCGGGGAACGTTTGGCCCAGGCAGCCGCCATGTCGGTGGCGGATACACGTGGACAAAAATGAGGTAGCGTGGCGGCTCGGAACCGTTGCCACAGACTCGTCGTGTCAGGTATCCCTTCTCGATAGCGACGCCCAGGGTGTTTTCCTCATCCGGGACCACGGTCCCGTTGGATAAAACGACCGGTAGGTTGGCCGGCAGATTAAACTCGCGCTGTGCGGCCGCTCGGAGCTGGGCCATGGTCGTGGTGGGCGTAGCCAGCACGTCCACGACCAGCCACTGCGACTTTGGCTGCGCATGCGAGGCGTAGGATATATCCAGATCGGGGTGTGCAAATGAGCCCGCCGGATGAATGCACGCCATCTTGATTGGCACCGTCGTGTTCGCACGATGGATCGCCGAAGAAAACGACGTCATTTCTGTGGATAAGATTCTTGTACATACACTGATACACATATGGCCCGATCGTTATTGTGGAAGACGAAATCGACATACTTTTTCTAATAATTATTTCTGTCACTGCGAGAAGTGCCGAGAACGAAATTATTTTTCGGAAAATTATCACCGTTGCCACATTTCGGAAAATTATCACCGTTACTGTTCATCACCTATATGGTGCGCTAATTCAGTAACCGCCGACCGTATCAACTAGTCTCGAGCTTTCTTATGCCAGTTTGTTTTTTTACGACCTACTGATGATCTGTGTCAGATTCTTATTATGCGATTCGATATCGATTAACTGTTGCCGATCGCCGGGGAAAAATCGTGAGTACCTTGTTGCACCTTAATACCTAATACCAATGCTCGCCAACAGGTTATAAGAAGTTCAGAAGGTGTTAGAAATTATATTTTTATAAAAAGTTATTCTTAAAGTGTCTTATTAGTAGAACATACTTGAAGCTGTGGCTTCACATTTCCTGCGGCTCCGGTAACCTTTACGGTGCAGTTCGGCAGGTGGCCAACGAGAAGGTACTGCCGTCGCCTTCAAAACGTTTTTTCCTCTTGTTGAGTCGTTGTAGTGTTGGTGCACGAAATCATCGTCCGTGAAATGTTTGCGGCACACAATATCATGCTTAGATGGAGGACGCGGGTTACCGCAAAATCCGATCCATAAATCGCGATTGGGACAACCTTCTTTAGGAATATGATGAAACGATAACTTCCGCAACTGTCCAGCTTTCTTCCCTTTCGAACCTTGTGTGCTTGGACAGTACAGCACAAAACATTTCGTCACCATGTTTTACAACATAAAAAGATCAGTCAGATATACGAGTACACATGATTGTTATGGCACGGTTCGTCGATAAAAACTGCATGCAAAATTAAATTGTTTTACTGCGTTGGCTTTGTATCGCAGTGTAATGATGTAGACCTATTTCCAGGAAACAAATGCATGGTACCAGGACGCGCACACATTCTTGGTCTGCTCCCTTTCCAAGGCTTCCTGCGTCTATACTTATACGAGACTCGTGTGTATAATCTCCTTCATTGTGCACTACGCTTTTGCTCGCAACTTGCACAT